GATTTCGACTCAATTAAGGGCTTCTACACCTTGCTAGTTAGAGTTAAAGATCAGCGTTAAAGTGGGAGGGAATGGTTTGGGAATTGCTATGTACACGTACATGGGTAAACTCGATCATAAAAAATGATTGGTTATAAATAACGGCCGGAATATAAATCTGAACAAAGAAGAACATACGGAGAACACACTGGCAAAGGTTAATTTCAATTAACCGGTTTCTTACATTGTTAGAGGAGGAAATAAAAAATTTGAAGACATTCAAAGGACAGCAGGCGGTATAACGCAGACTACAGATTTTTGGAAGAAGGTCATGGCCCAAATATAGAAAGATTAGCAAGTACAGGCATGCCTGATGTATTCTACGATCATTTTCTACGAGTCCATAGGTTGAGAAAAGAAAAAAATGGAAATGGTTCAAAAAACTATGACATTTCAGCAATAAAAGTTCCGAAAACGTTTCAATTTCGGACAACCACCGACCTATGACTGCTGTAAGACAAAGATTTTGCAAAGCAATGCAGATATCATAGACCTTGATGAGTTAAAAAATACTCGAAATATCTCATTGCGGTAATTGGCATTATTCCCGCTCACATTGGCAACATTCGGAGGAGAAATTCCCATTTTCGATATTTATGGGACGCCCCATTTATGGGCACGACATATTTGCCATTTATCACGCCGCAAGACACATAAGCCCTTAGGAAAGAAAAGTTCGCGGCGCGGTGAAATTTTGTTCGCAAGTCAAGATGGAGATTTGGGAAGGGTAAGGGTGGATTATGCGTTACAAATAGGGTCAATTATAGGTCAGCGTAATCTGATTTTATGGTCCTTGCATAATTTTTTTCCAAAAATTTAGAAAAATCGCTTATTAGATCTTGTCGAAAATTGGTAGAAATTAAAATCAGGGCTTGAAAAGAAACTTTGAGCCTTTTGCTTGCACTATTCGGAAACCATCGCGATTTTTTTGGACAAAAAATCACTCGAAAAATTAGAGAGCGCAAAAAACTTTTTTGTCTGACTGTTTCTCTTCATATTCCAGAGTCTTATGTCTGCAAAGATTGTAGATCACTTTAGATGACACTGCTAAAATTTCAGAAATTGATGTGTGGCGAAAATCTCGCAAATGCGCTAAATTTGAAGGAAAACTGACTCTGAGTAAGGCTCTTTAGAATTTTGGGTAAAAAGTCTAGAAATAGGACGCTGAATTCGTCCCTTTTTGTAAAAAAACATGCTACAGCCACTTGATTGAGCACCCTAGTTTGGCAAAGAATCTTCCGCAATGTAATTACTGGTACTTACAAGTACCTCCGTTGGCTAATAAATCTCTTGGTTTCCAAGTATGAGTTGAAATCTGCACGTATTCCCCCTCATTTCTCTTTCCCAGCTACGAGGTGTACCTTTTATTCCTCACGAACTTTGATCAAATCAACAACAAAGTTTGCGGCCATTTGCACCATAACATCACCCCAACACCATTCCACACATCCTCCACCTTCTATTTCTCGCGCTTTTCCCATTCCACGCCCATTTTCTTTACCTCTTTCACTGTACTTCCAAATTTTCCCTGTTGAAACATTGCTTTAGACAGGAATTGAAAACCTTTTCTTCCCAGCAACTTCCGAATCCCCCCGCAACATTTCACATGCCAAGAATCTCACGGGGCCCTTTGGCCTTCGGGCCCGGCGCTTTCGATTACAACGCAATGGTTCCCGCTTATTCGTGACAAGTTTTTTCGGCGCCCCGCATTACTGTAGACATGGAGAGACTGTTTCGCGAAAAGGGAGAGGAAATGTTAATGTCACCGGATTGCAGAGGTTAGCAGAGAATTTGGAGAATAGCACGGGGTCTCGCGGAAATTACAGCGAAAAAATTTCACAGTAAGGGTCGGGAAACATATAATTTTGCGATTTTAACGAGAATTGATGACGAATTAGAGTAAAAAGCAAAATTCTCGTAATAATACGCACGTATTTTGTTCAAGGTTTGCACAGGAATCTACCTAAGCTACTTGTCAGATGCTGAAAATTTTGTGGCTCCCGGTTTGGAGCAATCATTGCGATATTTAGGTGGAAGGTGAACAACAGCTCAAAAAATCGCTTCGAAGGGAACCTGTTTTGAATATGAATATTCCGCAAAATTTCTACAAAAAAAATCTAGCTGACATTTTCCCTAACCCTAACCGCTCCGCTCTCCGTATTTCGCTAATTCTCTCGTCTGCAGAGCCTTTCAGCGAAAAAATTTTGGCTCATGCTTTGCAAGTGCAGTCGGGATATTCAACAATCTTTGCCGATTGGAAAGAAAAAATCGGGGATTGAAACAAAAAAAATTTTTATTTTTTAAAAAAAGGTCAGCATAGAGAAAAGTTACAAATTAAAATGAAAGCAAAAAACAATTAATAAGCTCTCAAATGAGACTACATACTCCTATCGTTGAAGAAGTTATAAATAAACGCTTTTATGCCCTCTAACAGGACATACATTTAAGTACCAACCGCTTCGCAGGCACAAAAAATTCTTAATTAATCGAATAAATAAAAAACAAGTAATAAAAGAGGCTGACACTATTATGCACATATATAAAAATCACCTCCTCCGCCAAATAACTCTAATTGCGGTCATAAAAAAATAAAGTTAAAGGATAATCTAGGCTAAATTACCCGGAACTTGTCTCCATCACATAAGCCAACTTTATGCAATTATCAATAAGCCCCAGCCATAAATATGAGTCAGGTTCACGCAGCGTTACAGCATTAGAAAACTCGTAGTAAGACATGCTTGCGGAATGAAGGAAGCAAACAGGGATTCTGCCTGGTCTAGGACCCCAGTAAAAGAATCTCAACTTTAGAAATTCGACAAGTTAAAGTCAGCAAGAGTTGCCTTCTATGTCAGCTCTCCGCATTTTGCGCACCCTCTCAAAATTTGAATATCTTGGCTGTTCTTGCGAAGAGCAAGAAACATAAAATTTTTGGAAATTTATGTGTCTACGAAGGTAAATTTGCAAAATTAAAAAAAATCTTAATGCTTCCAGAATGACCTACATAATACATCCCCTATTTCTGCAGAATACGAGCTGGGAATCTCGTATTTTTCTTAGAAAAATGTGGTCTAAATTGGTGCCCAGCTCCATTGAAACCCGCACATTAAGCACTCCCCCTATTAACTTTTTACACCCTTAGGCAATTTTACACCAAGGTATCTTCTATAACAAACTTTTCAACCCCTTCTGTCCCCCTCCCATTTTAATTGGTCCTCTAAATGTTTTCGCAAAGACTATAAAAGTGTAGATGGCCCTCCTTTACCTTCCCGTCTTAACAACTCATAATTGTGGGAATGTAAAACGGAAGGAGAGCGGAGCCGAGAGAGGTAACTCGAGGAGTAAAAGAATCTCTTGCGAGGCTCGGTTTCCATGGGTACTGATTACCTTTTTTTCACTTCTTTCATTTCATTTACCACACCCATTTTACCTTCTCTTCCAAATCTCGAAGGCCAGCGGAATGAGAGTGGATATCGGAAAACGCCTACGGCACTTTGTAATCAGAACTAATGCTCACGTAAAACGAAATGGAATCTGCGAATTTAAAGGGGAAATCACACCGTAATTTCGAAGTATAGAGACATTAATTTTTGTTGTAAAAATTTCGAATTCATAATGAAAAAGCGTTGAGTTTAACGCCCAGATTTCCTTGAGATTTTTCGCACATGAACTTCGTAGATCACACATTGATTCCTAAAAATTCTAGCTTCCATTTTGCAAGCACAGCTAAAATATTCAACGATCATTGTCATTGAGAGAGTATGCGAAATGCGGAGAACGGTCAGAAAGAAGCTGTTTTTTGTCATCTTCTGCCAGTTCCAAGTGAAAAAATTAAATTTTTGCCGCTAAGGTCCAGCAAAATTTCACCTTTGAGCAGATGAGACAGAATGCCAAAAAATGGCGGAAATTCGAACTTTTGAAATCCGATTAGAAATTAATGCGGTCCAACTTTCCCCACCCACGTAACTATCTAACAAATATTTTTTTAGGGAACAGATACGAAGGTGTACGGCCATAACATTGCCCACGGTCTATTTTTCCGTACAGACCGTTCCCGTGTGAAAGGGGGTTTGCCCTTTTGATAAGCATTTCTCAGGAGTCATAAACATCGAAATAGAATTTTATAATAATATTTTCCCCAAAAACAATGATGTAAAAATATAAAAAAATCTCAAAAAAATCTGTCATTATGGGTGTAAATACTGCTAGGAAAGATGTTCAGTGTCCAAAGTTGAAATAGTAACACCCTAAACAGAAGAATTTACCAAAAATTTAGGTAATAAAATATGTCATCATGACGCATTTTCCGGGAAACCGTCAAAAAAATCTCAAGTTTAAGTCAAAAGTGGCGCACCTTTTCCCCGTAAAATGTTAAAAATGCGTATAAACAAGTATTTTTGCGTCAGAATTATTATTAAAAATACCTTTTCCAACAGTGACGCGTTTATATTCACCATGAGCACGCAAAACGGCACTTTTCTGTCCCTGAAGCCCGCTCTCTGACCACGAATTACTCTATTATTCGCCCAAAAATTAATTCCAAATCCAGCTGACCCAACTTCCGGCCGTCCGCGCCTACAAACACTGTAAATTTTTTTTCGAAAAATTCAAAAAATTTTAATTTGTAAAACCCGTAAATAGGTGCTGATTACAAATCAATTAGGCTCATCAGAGGCAATTGCCACTCTCCGGGCCCCCGTTCGAGATGTTGGAGCCGTTGTTCGGGCTGTTTGTGGACCATGCCCGGAGGCATTCGCCGCTAATCACCGCTATTCAAAATGTATTTTCCGCCCAGATAGATGGCAAAAATGGGTGGCGGATGGGCGAGTTGGACTGCGGGGGGATTGAATTTTCATAGAGCAAAAGGTTTCCGGAGAGTACTCCAGAAAAAATGGGGTAACATCAAAGTTTATGTAAAATTCAACAAAGATTACAAATTGCTGCGAATCCACAAAGAACCCTCTTCATTCGTCGAATCCTTGATCCTCCGGTGATTCCACGTCCACTTCATCGGCTAATCGGTCTCTGACATCAACATCTTCTCCGTATTGAATGCAGGTATCGATAGTCAACAGGACTTGGCTGATATTTTCTTCGTCTTCACAATCAAGAGTTACAAATCTCACTAATCCATACTCGTCTAAGATGTCTGCAATCATTTGACTGAGCAGTCGATGTTTTTTATTCCATTCTGTGGGTTCTTGCTGAAAATATGGGGAAATTATATTATACATGACATCAAGAGAAAAATGTTAGCAAAAATTGTGCAAATATACCCCCAAATCAGTTTAAAATCGCCGCGGACTTCTCTAATTGGTCAATAAACACAAAATTCACTTCTTTTTAATATTAAAAACCCGAAATCTCGACTTTCATAAAAAAAACAAATTTCATCGTATAAAATGTCGCTACCCTTCAAAACTGATCTAAAACGCCAAAGTTACTATTCCACAGTCTTTTTCATGTTATTTATTCCCCATTCCCTGCAATCCCCCCTCATTAACCTACACTATCCAACAGAGTTTGAGCGTTGCCCTCCAATACGTCCTCGATCCATTGGCGGTCCTCTTTTTGCATCAAATCCATCTTGGAAACGATCGAAACTGCCGGCGTTTCCAAAGACACCATGGTCGACAAGGTCGTGAGGGCTCCTGCGATGAACTTGTCGGCGTCCAGGAGGAACTGTGAGTCCAGCAAAAAGACCGTGCAAACATTGAAGCCCCATTGCTGCAGTTTTTCGACGAACTGTCTCATGACCGGCAAATGGCTGTACAATTCGATTTGGCCGGGACAATCGAACAGGAAATAGTCGTCTTCTCCGGCTTGCAGCATTTCTTGGAGAGCGTCGACTTCCTTGAGGAGGTATTCCATGCAGAAAACGAGGGCGCCATTAGGTCCAAGGATTAGTTCTTCGTCTTCTTCCACGTCTTTCACGCTGATCAAATCTCGGACGTCTGGAAAGGTTATTACTTAACAGGGGCTAGGAACAAATTTCAGGACACAAATTGCATTTTTTAGGAGAAAAAATATTAATTTTTTATCAAGAATGTCTACTACAATATAAATTTGTCATCAAAAATATAAAATTCCTTCAAAGCAAAAGAAAAAAATACACTAAGACAAAGAATCATTGATATTAATGGAAGTTCAAATTTAACTTTTTCTCACCCAAAAGCCCCATAAATCATCAAACTCCACCTAAAGTAATATCCCAAAACTCCCATCAACTCACCCACATCCGGTTGATACTTAAAATAATCAGCAGCTGGATCCAAGTTGCAGATAAATACTGGTCGTTGGGCCGCTCGGCAATGTTCTTGGATGATATGACAGTAGGTGGACTAAAACATTTTTTAGGTAATTTTCATCATCGGAAAATCCTAACTATTTGAAATTTCGTACCTTTCCACTGCCTGCGGGTCCAACAACTAGTTGGGCGTATTTCATTCTAAAAATCAAACAAAGAAAGGATAAAAATTAAAAAACATTATTTTAGGTATCTTGATGATGAAACATTACAAAATTTTATATCCGATATTCAAAAAGCAACAAAAATAATTTATAACCAGTAAACAAGTCAACAAAGGAATACCCGTATAAGAAAAATGCAGATCAGAGAAAAAAATTATATTATCCATGACCATCCGATATAATAATTCAAAATTTCTCAAAATAAAAGGCTTCAATAACGCTGCAAATCGCTTCACAGATTCATTAAAGTCTGCTCTCTGTTATGATGACCAAAAACGCTCAAAAAATGTAAAAATTTTCCAAATTTTTGCGTCCTCAACCAAAAACCTTTTGATTTGAAAAACTCTCCAAATTCAACTTCAAGCACTCTAAGCACAAGATGGACATATCTGCAATGACCTGTGGATCAATTCATCACAATCTTTGCAAAACTTTTGCCCGCATTTTGGACACACCGTCCTTTTTTCAGCATTCACATGGCATGCATAACATTGGCCGGGTTCATCGATCTCGTTGAACTCATCGAGTTGCAATAGGTGTTGGAAAGTCCTTGCCAACTGAGGAGAGGTGATTAGGAGGACTCCACATATCCCACATTCCACGGGGGTGCTGCAGAAATGAGCGCCGCACTGTGCGCAAATGTAGGCCTGTTCCAGTTGGGAAAAGTCATCGCGGTGGCTAAAATAAGGCAAATTTAATGGGAATTTTGCAGGACAACAAAAGAATAAGAAATTCAGGAAAGAGGAAATCAAAAAAGTTTTGAAATCTAACAAAATTTTTTGTATTTTGATGACTTTACCTTATTTTAGACCAAAATTTTGATTTCTCAAAAATTTTCCAAAAAACGTCGATAAAATTACGTCGCTCAAGATGCAAAACATATCTTAAGACCCAAAATTCATCTTTATCATCAAAATTAACTTCAATTTTACACCTTTTATAAACATTTCAACCTCAAACATCCACTCCAAAAAAACATAAAATTTAAATTTCTCTTACCAAACGCACACTGGCGGTTCAAAAACAGCGTCCCGAATCGGAAAACAAACTCTGATCAGGTTGCTTTCGGACCCCTTCGGCAATACCACCGGCTTTATGTAATCATTCAGAATTTTTTGAAAGTGAGGTTGGTCCAGTACAGTATCACATCTGCCATGGGTAATTGTCGTCAACTTTCGAAAAACAAAAAGTTCTGCACAGAGACCAATTACGGAAGCTCGGATCGACTGACGCTTTAGATCCTAAAAATTGAAAGAATTTTTTATCAAAGATAAAACTTACTTCAAAAGTCGTAAAAATGTTCCCCGGATCGATCGTGGATAGACTGCCGGATATCACGACTATTTCTCGACTTGCATAGCCTGGTTGGACACTAAGAATAAAAAATGGTCAAAAAATTGATCGAAAGGATAACATAATTGTTCACTTTTACCAAAAAAGTCCTCACCTAAGATCGTTGGCAGCCATCTGTAATGAACTCTGCAATGAGAACTCGCCAGTGCAGGACGCATAATCCAATCCACTCAAAGTGTCGACCAAAGTTCGAGTATCACCTAAAGTCCAGAAAAAATATAAGAAAAAATAAACTTACTGGTAAACGCGACGAGTCGATTCGGCCGTCGATCCGTACATAAAATAATCCCAATTTGTGCGATCGGATTGAATTGAAAGAACTTCTGAACAAAGTCTTTCAATAATTGAACGGTCACGGAGACCAAAGACGGATAAAGCGGTTGAGTTGCTAGCATTGCACCGGAATAATCAATGATAATGCTGACATACCGCATCTAAACAGTAATCACAAAGTTTTGCACAACTTACCACTCCCATTTTCCGCATTTTCAGAGGCTCCTCGTCCATTTTGAAAGTATAATATAAATTTGATGGCTAAATTAATATAATCAGCGGGAAATGGACTAAATTCGAATACCAATGATCACGGAGATCGTATTAGGCATGGGCAACAAGTTTTCAAACTTTTTTGATTCAATTGAAAAAGAAAAAAACAAAATTTTTAAAACCGCAAGCTGCGTCCGAGCTGAAATTGACGACTCGGAAATTCGCGGGCGCACCTTGCGAGAAGAAAAACAAGATCTTGTTTTTGTAAAATACAAAATTTGGTAAATTTTCGAAATTCCTGCAGGAAGATCTGACCGAAAATCGCTTTTATTATTCCTTATCCTCACCTTGAAATATGCCGTCATATACTCCTCGCTCTTCTCGGCATCCGTATTCAGATGAAGACGATAAAGAACTCTGGGGATTTTACATCAAGTAAGTGGCATGTTACAGACTCATCGATGTTTAGAGAGTTCCGTCGACTCAGGTTCTGCTCCTCAAACAAAATGTGGGAGGATTTTTTGGCTCAACATGGGAAAAAGCGATTGGTTTGGAGCTTCCGCAGAGCTTCTGGGATCGAATCACAGTAAGATTTTTTTATTACTGTTGTTTTTGGTATTAGAGAAACATCTTTATGGTTTTCTTGTAGTTTCCGAAAAGTTCTGGTCCCTAAAGTCGTCGATTCGCCTCTTCGCGGCAAAGACTTGTATGATGTGATGAAGTTCTATCAAACCAAGCTGGACAAGAATGATATCAAGTTCCTGGAGAAGCGAGAACCCGTCAAAGTCTTCACTGATGACCATGGATGCTTCTTAAAGGCGGTAGATGCAAAAACAAGTCAGTTTTTGTTAGTTTTCATCTTATCTTGGTTTAGATGAGGTGATCAATGAAGAAACGTTTGATAGGTCCAGAAAAGGAAGTTTTGAAAGCGAGAGTAGCGCAGAGACAGTTGATAACAGGATTGGCAGGCGATTTTTGGAATCCGATCGTGACTCTTCTTATGATGGCACATCGGTTTCAAGCACGGATGAGGTGGAATATAACCCATCGTCTCCGAAGAAACAACCGACCTCTCCACGTCGTCTAACTCGATCGCAGCACAATGCCGAGGTTGCTCCAACTCATACGAGGGAACTCAGAAGCAGAGGTATTTCTCCAAGGACTGTCAGAACTCCAAGTGTTGAAGTTTTGGAAGATCAAATTGATACTCCGACTAGTTCCGCCAATTCTACCAGGATTACTCGTTCTCAAAGGAGACCTGAGGTCAGTTCTCCTACGAAGAGACGACTGGATGCTGCTAAAGAAGCTAATAACAACGGCAATATTAAAATTTCTCCATCTAAACCTACTGCAACTGGAAGTCCAAAGAAGAAATTAAAGGCTGATATCGCGGATCCTCCTGTATTCGAAGAGTGGAATGAGACTCTCAAGCAGAATGTCAAGGCTATTTTGAATGGAAAACTGGAGATTACGGACTTGGAAAGGAACGTGGAGATTCCAGAGCAGTACCAAAAATATTTTGATATGCCAGTGGTAAGTAATTGAGTTAATCGTGGTGGAAACGGTATTTTTGAGGTGTTAAAAAGCCTGATAGATTATTTGACAGTTATGCATGAACTTTTAAGGGGGTTTGGAGTAAAATTTTTGGCGGGCGCACACTTGCGGGCAACCACTTTGCGGGCAAATTTTTTGCGGGCAGCCACTTTGCGGGCAGCCGACATTTGTGGCCAGCACCGGCATTTGCGGGCAGCCTGGGACATTTGCGGGCAGGGTCGACAGTTGCGGGCAGCCGACATCTGCGGGTAACCGACACCTGATTGTGAGGGTAACAGGGTGGACGTGGAAAAATTACTATGATATTTTGGAAATTTGCCGACATTTGCGGGCAGCCGACATTTGCGGGCAACCGGGAATTGTGGATAGCAAGGTGGAGGTGGAAAAATTACTGCGATATTTTGGAAGTTTACCGACATTTGCGGGCAGGCAAGACTTGCGGGAAGCCGACATTTGCGGGCAACAGTTCCAAAAGTACCAATACAGTCTGTATGATTGTTTTTTCCTGTTGCCCGCAAATGTCGGTTGCCTGCAAGTGTCGACTGCCCGCAAATGTCGGCAAATTTCCAAAATATCGAAGTAATATTTCCACCTCCACCCTGTTACCCTCAGGTGCCGGTTGCCCGCAAATGTCGGTTGCCCGCAAGTGTCCCAGGCTGCCCGCAAGTGTCTCAGCTGCCCGAAAATGTTTCAACTGCCCGCAAATGTGACCCCCCAAATTTTGCCCGCAAAGTGGTTGCCCGCAAAAAAATTGCCCGCAAACTGGTTGCCCGCAAAGTGGTTGCCCGCAAGTGTCGCGACGCCAAATTTTTGCATTTTTTTTTTGTCATGGCTAATGATTTTTGGGCAATTTTTTTAGAATTTAGCGGTTGGGTATGAAACCTACCGTATTATCTTGGCGGATCACTTAGATGCAGTCATGTTTAAATTAAAACAATGACGTTATTTTTTTAGGCCAAGGCTTTCCTCCGATTGGCCCTCAAAGGCCCCAGAGATCCCGAAGCGATCCCTATGAACTTACTGTACAAAGAACCGGTAAATTCCAACTAATAACCTCTAATACAATCCCCAATGAACCATATTACCCCCTAATAATATCATTTTTTTCATACCAACCCGCTTTTAATAACCTTAATTTATTTTTCAATATTATTACAATAAATTAATTTACAATACGACCCGTAAAGACTGAGTTAGAACGATAGATAAGACACTAAACAGCGATTCGTTCAAGTTGTATTGCCCTGGCACGGTTGGAAGCACTCGATATTTTGTAGTAGCTTTTAGTTACAACGATGACTAAAGTAAAAAATTTTGATGGAAATTGAAGAGTTTTATGTTTAAAGATGTATGAGACCGATTTCGGGGATCAGATAGACTTGATAGTATATATACAAGTTAAATTCCAAGATGAAAATTATAGTACACAAACCAATTTCAATAGACAAATCCCGAATAATTGGTCTCGGCCTGCAGCTGGCCCAGCCTTCTTCTCGGGCTGATGTCCAATTCGCTTGCTGATACTGGATTCAGCAATCCGACAAAATTTTCGAATCGCAAAGCCTTGCGAATTCGAGAAATTACCGATCTTATCGTAGGCCTTCGATATGAATTGTTCTGTTCTCTGCGGATTTGTGGCAATGGAATTGGAAGGAGAATGGCTTGAGAGCACTGGGTAAAGGATGTGGCATCAGTTGCTGATAAAAGTGAACCTCTTTTGGAGTCGGGATGGGTTCCCCAGGAGGGGACGGAGAGGAAATTGGGACTGGCGGACTGAACTGATCTCCGGGCAGTCATCTGGTTGGATACGTGTAAAGTGGAGGGCTGAAATTTATATCATCTTACAAAATGTAATGAAACCAATGTAAAATTTGATACAATTTTGGGCACTTTTATATCACATGTAATGGGTAATATAAACTAGTGTCGATAAGGTGCAAATGGCCGGTTTGATGGTAGAATGAAGCTTTTAAACTCAATTAAAGCTACTGTCTTCCTCGGTCGTCAATTTTGTCACCTTTGGTGGACATTAGAACATAATGCCAATTTTGGCGGGAAATTTGAAATTCAAAAATTTAATTCCGAGAAGTCCGCCAAAGGTTGGAATATTAATAATCTAGCGTAATTTTAAGTACAACTCACTAGATCCTTCTCGATTCCGCCTCGAATAGCACTCAATCTGCTCGATCTTCTCCTTGCCAGCCATTCGTAATCGAAACTCGAGAGCGAGGGATCCGTCCCGAACGAACTTGGGCACTGCGATATGCCGGTCGATGGGCCTCCGTACTCGTCCGCACTCAGTCCGTAGTAGACGCTGGAGCGGCGACGCTGCTGCTCGACGCGTCGACGGCTGACATGTTGGAGATGGAGGTGCTGCTCTCTCTGCTCCCACCACTCGCGATTGTGCTGCTGGGTGTAGCGGCGCCATGCGGGTCGCAGGAACGCCGAGTTGAGGAAGAGCACGTTGGCGTGTCGGCCCAGAAATGAAGCGATCCCAGGCCGTCGGGCAGCATCAGAGCGCCTGGAAAGGGAATTGTCGTAATTTTGGTGAGACCATGGCTATTACAATATAAATTTAGGAAAAATAGGGGGAATTGAATTGACCCTAACAGGACTAAAGATGGGAAATCAGAGCAAAAAACCCCCAATAAACCCTTTGCTTACCCTTGTTTATGACCGAAAGCCCAGTCAAGGAAGCGCGAGCTTGTTGTAGGCGGAGGTGAGACCAGCGGCGCCGTTGCGGGGTGTGAGGGTCGTCGACCGGGGTCGAACTCCGTTCCTCCATGCAAATAGACCCCGTCGTTTGCTGCCGACGCATCCGTGAAAAAGGCGGACGGAGCGGGCTGGGTGGAGTGGCATTCTCCTAAAACCTCGATATTAATTTATGTCACATTAGTCAACAAATTGATGACATTCAGTGGAACATTAATCAACATTAGGGTTATGGACGCGTGTTGTGGACAGTCAAGCGTTCACACAGGGATTGACGGACATTTTTCGGACAAGGTGCATTCGTTTTTGCACTTACTACGTTGTCGGCCGTTTAATAAAATACGGAGAAGAAGGTGCTTCCGCTTTGACTTTTGATGCTTACAATCGATAAATGACGGCCTTAAGAGACAAAGTATAAATTGGGTTAGTTTGGCTCCACGTCAATCCAGCGCATTTCCTGAACCGTTTCGAAACTTCGCATCGTTTTCATTGATTTAAAAGAGAGACGAAATGTCGCGAAATTTTTGGCACTTTTTCTCGCCCGAAATAATCGTTTTTTCTCGAAAAGGAAGAAGAAAGATAAGAAAATGCGTTTTATCGGATAGTGACATTTCGTTTTGAACGAATCACCAAAAAAGGGGCGGGAAATTTTTTCTTCTGTTTTGGATTGACGTGGGCTCCGATTTTTTGACGCAAAATTTTGGAAAAGTCTGAATTTTTGTCATGGGTTTTTGGCAGGGTGCGATGACTAAAAAATTCCAAAAAAATCCCCAAATCCACCTACCGTCCTTATGGAATTTATGGGGATCAATGAGTCGCCCAAACGATGGTTGTTGCTTATCGCCGGCGGCCTTGCGGGCTTGTGCTGCAACGACCCGGACCTGGTCGACGGCACAGTGCTGATCGCCGTCCGATCGTCGCCGATTGGGCTGAGTGTGGCGTAATTTCCGGTTCGAGGGGAGATGATGGCGGAGGTGGCGGGCACGATGAGCGCCCCGTCCGACGGACCGTTGTTTGGACAGGCTTAAATCGAGATTTTTAGAAAAAAATTTTGATCTCTTCTTGGAGGCTTTGGAAACATTTCAAAATCGAAGAATTTCGACAAAAAAAATCACTCAACGACAACATTTACAGTATTCACGACCTGTTTACAACATTTACAACTATTTTTTACACAAAAAACATTTTTTAAAAATCCAGCATTTTTTCAAAAAAAAATCGCTACCATCGTGAAAATCGTCAAATTCGTCGTATTCAAGCAGTTCATCGCGCTGTTCAACTGGATCCGGACATGAATCCGGCAACTCTTTTTGCAGTTTTCTCATTTCCAAGATATTCTTCTCCATATTTGGTCGGCTGTGTGTGCGATAAATTGATTGGCCCTTGGGACGAAGTGGAGCTCTTCCGATCTTCGCTGGGCTTAGATTTTTCGTCGGGGAGGCGGTTAAAAGTGCTGCAACAGCGCTGGCTTTCCTCATTCTTTTCTCGTTTTTCCGTTGAGACGGCAACCGTAAAGATCGGTGTTTCTGTCGCTCTTTCTTACTGCTCTTTTTCCTCTGTTTGATGGGAATTTTGTTACAGTAATCTTCGTCGTCATCGACCCTCACTAGAGCGGCTGGCGCCACCTTTAAAGCCGATGCTAGACCGGGCGCGGCGCCCGTATTAATCGCGCCGAAGAGGGTCGAGGCGCGGCGGTTTTTCGAAAGCTCCTCGGTAATCGCCGTATGTTGCGTGATCATCGTCGAGGACTGCATATTTTCTACCACAATGGCGGGGATTCGTCGCTGCGGCGACGCATTTCGTTGCGATTTTCGCCGCTTCCGCCGCACACTCGAGTGGATCACACTCATCGACTGATTCCGACGCCGCGCGTTCTTGTAGGTCCGTGTCCCGCTCAGACAACAACACGAGCCCAACAAACAGGCCATACAAATGTGGTAGAGGCGGGTGCGCCACGGCATGTCCGCCCAATAGCGACGCTTTCGTTGCCCGAGCAGTTGCTCGGATTGTTGTTGATCCAAAAGTTTTAGTGTGTCCGACAATTCCGGCTCCGCTTCCTCGTCATCAGTGCTAAAATTTGACATTAGAATCGCACCGACTCTATGGGGAGAGGGACTAGGATTTTTTCTGGGTACGAATTTTGGTAGGAACCCCGATTTTTTATTGGCAAAATCAAAAAAATTGATTTGCTACCCCTTAAAGATCCCCTTTTCCGTAAAAAAAATCAATTTTTTCAAAAATTCACAGAAAAAAGAGTCGTAAAAAACTCTACAAGGCTTTTACTATACACTTTCTTGACTCACAATCAGTTCAAAATTTCTCGCAAGAGGGTCTAAAATGATTACGAAATCATTTGGAACGTCTAAAATTGATTTGGCTTGATTGGTCAACAAGTCTTGTCTTGGTTAGTAATATAAACTCAAAATCGAATTAGACACCGAATTCGGGTTAGCCGGACCATAACCTGGTAGTAAATAGTTATAGTTGGAGATCAGGGAATAGGAAAGACACTAAATTAATTTTATATTATCCATGAAGGGGCTAATGGATAATAAAAATTTAATCACAAAATTTTTTGGTTGAAAAATTATGAAATCAAAGCTGGATGTTTCTAGGAGTTATATTACGTCTTCTTTTAACATTTTTCGGTACTTTTCGATAAATAGTGACTGTAGAACAGAATGCCAGGAATGGCGGGAAAAAATAAATTTGAGTTTTAACTCCAAAAATTGGTCGCATATATAATTTTTGGCCTTCTGAAAGATCTCCCTATTACGTTTTTGGCTATTCTCGACGATTTTTAGGTCAAAAAACAACATGCCAAAGGTAGGTGGTATGTTAAAATTTGATTTTTTTCCTTGCTAAAAAATGGAGTCTACAGAATTAATGGGACTTCTGTAAAATCTCTGCATTAGTTCTTTGGCCAGTCTCGACAGTTTTAGGGCCTGAAACAGAATGCCAAAAATAGCGCGAAAATTAAAATCTAAAAATGGACTGATCTTTCATTTCTGAGATATTAATAACGCTCCGAATTGCTCTTACTCAATCAGTCAACAAAAATTGAAGAGTTTTAGACATGTTTTGATCGGAGTATTTTATATCATACTAGATAATCAGACCGAAAAAAGACGGCTGCAACCTAAATTTGAACAAAAGACAAACTCATGAGTACTTCTCAAGCCAAACCAAACTTGTGTGTTCTGTTAAAAGCCGCTTCGAACTGAGCTAAACCCATTCGGGAACTCAAAAAAATCAAAAATTTTTTGAAATTATGTCAGTGCAATTCCTTTGTCAACACAGAGTTACAATAGGCCTAACAAAAATCAACTAAAAACACACAACAACTAAATCGAACGGCTAACATAAGAGTGCGAACAAAAAAAGGACGGGGATCGGATCATATTATAGGAGGACACGGACCAATCAAGCCAAAGGGAAGGTTTTGGAGATGTTACAGTAGGGAAAAGGGGACCAAAAACAATCGTAAATGGACGGCGGTGGACGTGTGCCACAAGCAAATCGACGGAGGGGAGAAAAAGAAATGGAACCCTTGATTTTTTTTTGATGATTTTTGGCGAAAAAATTAGCTGCGTTTGGCGAAAAAATGTCGAAAAATAAGTCATGAAAAAAATTAGCGATTTTTTGGCGGAAAAATTAAAAATTTCGGTAAAAAAATAAATGACATTTTTTTAACCAATTTAGACAAAAAACGAGTATTTTGCAGCCATTTTAGGGCAAAAATATGAAAAATGCCCTAAGGGTAAACAGAGAAGAAATTGTTTTTTTTTCCCAGAAAAGGAGAAAATGACGCTAAATTTATTTTGTAATATGTCCTCCGGGCATTTTTCGCCAAAAAAATCAAAAAATTCAAAGACCGAAAAATATAAATCAAGGGTTCTCTGCCAAAATTTCTGCAAGCCGATAGAGTAAATGACGTCATTCTAAGGCCAAAAAATATAATTATTATTTTAACTTACCTATACGGAGTGCAATGAATAAGCGAGAAGAAGAGTTGGAAGAAGACCGAACGGAACTTCCGCGACATTCCCACGTAGATGAAGAAGCCAATGGCAGAGTTGAGAAGTGATAAAAAGTCCATGAAATCGCCCAGAGGCTGATAAATCTAAAAAAATTGGTGATTTTTAAGGGAAAGTTTTTAAAAATCACATTTTTTAAAAATAGGCAAAAATTAAAATTTCAAAAAAAAACCAAAATAAAAATCGTTAAAAAATCAGTTCTAATTAAAAAAAACTCGTTTTTTGGCAGCTAAAAAATCATACCTTCAATTTTTTCCATTTTAAAATTAACTTTCGTCAAAGAAATTCATTTTCTACCATCTGCATGACTTACTGTTTTTTTGAAAGTGTCGCTTGAGAAGATACCCGTCATTACAAGCATAACACCCTGAGGCAATTCGGCGATCAAGAAGATGCTCAGCACCGCGACCAGCATCGGCGTCGTATGGTCTTTGGGGACCTTTTTCTTCATCACCTGTGCCAGATTCTTGCGTTTATTCGACACGTCGGCGATGATTTTGAGGAGAGCAACAATTGACACGGTCAGGAGAAGACATGGCACAACTTTGAAGATCATCCCATTCGACCAGAAAGCCATCTGAAAAAGGCTTCGTTTAGCCAATCTTAACACTTTTTTGACTTGCCTTCAGTTTCATACAGTCTTTTTCGTGTGCCCTGAGGGTATAGACCATCCGGGTTGAATTGGCGATCGCTTCTTCGATGGAAATTCCCTCGGGAACCAGACAGGACATGAAATATTCGGCGGGAATCTCGTCGATCTGAAAGGAAAGACCGTATTTTATTAGTCTTGTAAATAATTTTAGGATTCAGCGTTCCCTCTTTTCTTCGAATTCGCAACAAATTCTTACCTCAAATGTCATAAAATTCGGCAGATTCACGGCAGCCATGATAATAAGTGTGACGATGGCCAAGATTATGCTAAACCTCTCTGTGATTTGTGTTGTTGGACCCGCAGTAGCACGTCGAATAGTCAGAACACGGATTTGAGCGAGAGAAACCTGAAAATCATATTCCACATGTGGTATACGAATTATGTGTATTACGGTGCTGATCTTTTGCATTAGACTTTGAATACGATATTTCTAGGACATATATTTTGTGTGTTTAATGTTATTAATTCAAAAGTCACGGAATATGCAATATATCGGATTTGTAACCAAATGTGGGCGGAGCTTACGTTAGGAAAACTGAGTTTTTTATATACATATGTACATAAGAGTAAAAAATCATCAAAACAGCCACAAAAGGTCACAAGCTTCTCTAATTTCCAATTTTTGCGTGGTCATCTTATCAAATTTTCGCAAATTATATTATCCATGACATTAGATATTGAGTGTACGAACATTTGCAATGACTGTTTAAAAAGTCGTTTTTAGGTGGTGAGGCAATTAGACAGTAATTCCAAAAAATGGCAACTACCGTTTTTTGCAATTATTTAGGGAGTTTGAAAAAATTAGGCGGAGCTTATTGAGTCATCGAGTTTCTGATCGTTGGTATTTTTGTGAAAGACTGATAGTACTGTAAATTGTGAATCGGATGAAATTAAACATATTTTTAATTATTGGCCCCGAAAAACTTAATTTTTGGGTTTAAATTATATTATACATAATTTATGGCTGGGGAAATTACAAAAAAGAGTAATTTTTGATCAGTTAGAAATAATTTTTTGTGCAAATTAAGGTTCAATTGGAGAGCAGGACAGTTTAAAACTATTTGATAAATACCTACCGTCAACCATATCGACGTGGCATGACAAATCACCGAGACATGGGCATGGATCATGGTGAATATCCCCCAACCGTAGCTGTAGTCCTGCAGCTGGCACCGCGCCGGCGCAATTAAGTGAAAGTGGACTATGAAGACCAGATATGATGTCATCACCAAGATATCACAGATGGCGACAGCGCAAAGCAGGACATTGACGGGGGAAATCATCGACGGACGGGTGAGGACGACGACTGTCGTCAGGTTCATTAATGTGCCTAAAGAAGTGGGAAATTTTGTGAAGCCGAAGCCAGAAAAAAATCGGGACAATCATGTCCCATACGGTTGTGAAAAAACGCAAAAATAAGGAAATTTCGGGCTAAAAGTCTCGATTGTTTCTGCATAACGCGATTAAAAAAATTTTCGCGCGTCATGGAAGATTGCAAAATTTAAATTTGCGCCCTACATTTTGCCTAGTCAGCGTTTAAATTTTGATTTTTTTCTGCCTTACCGACAATACATAGGAATGTGGCCACATATTGATGTATTTCCACGTAGGACTGCCCGAACGCATTGACCCCATCCGTCAGCCATGTGATGTTCGGCAAGAGGATCGAGCCAATCTCGCAGAATTCACCCATTATACGAACCTGGTGTTACATTGCATTCATTCTCGCCGCTTGATGTCCATACCTGAAGGGAGGGATGACATAATTTTTGGGTCAACAGCCACTTAAAACTCGAAAGTTTTGCAAAATACAAATAATAATAGCGCGAAAACATCATGCATGTTATAGAAAAATAAAAAAAATCAAGTAAAATTAAATATTCAGAGATATTTTTCGACCAAATATGTTACACTATACACCTTGATATAAAGTCTTGGCACGAAAGCTACTTAATAGAAACAAAATTGTAATAAATAGTACTGCTGGACAAAGAAGAACCCTTTATCTTTTGTCTTAAATGTAGTTTTCCATTTTTGTAACACAAAATTATATTATACTAGACATCTGAAGGAAAAGCCCAAAAAATTGCAAGAAATTAATGAAAAACGTCAAAGAAGTAAACTATGGAAACAGTAGGAGTGCATATGCTGAGCTCGTTTATTGACGTTAGCCTACATCGTCTCCCATAATTATTTTCGAGGCATCATTTCATACTTAGGCACACAGATTGAAGGTACGAGCATAAAGGTAAAATGAGGGGTTTAGGATTAAAATAAATGGGGCGGTGGATTAGAAATGCAATGTTTATAACACCAAGTGTTTGCCATTTTATTGCATGGATTAAACTGTAGTAGACATTTGATAACACAAATGTAAATGCCGAAACGGTACTCACGGCTGCAGCGATCACGTATTAGTGTTTCTGATAGGGCAAATATGCCGCAATTGAACAAAATTTTCTAAATTTACAAAAATACGATTTACATTTTTTTCCTACTATACATATTATATTATACTAGGCTAGAAGGCAGATTTGATTACAAAAAAAAATTGTTATAGGTGTCTAAAGTAATATAAGGTTATAAACGGATTGTCAAAGGGTTGTTTATAATTCTAAAAGTTGATTTTGACTTCTTGGAACACCAATTAATATTGTAGTAGTCATCTAAAAAGAGATCCCTAAAATAATATTCATGGTTATGATCAAGGAGATCTTTGAATAAAATTGTCACCAACAAGACATAACGCTTCTAAATTGGTCTCAAATTACAGCCCATACCATTATAATTCTACAAATCTTCCATCTTCTTTATTACACTAGCTACTTGAAGATGAAAAGTTGGCAAAACAATGTACATGACTTTTGTAAAAAAAAAAGTGTATTTATAGTAGAAAAATCCTCAGAAATCTTCTGAAGCTCGAAGAATTCGTGACATTTCTGAAAGATATTTTTTGCGTGATATTGTACTAGACACCTGAGAAAATAGCCATCTTTTCTCCATCTTTTTTAAGCCCGATCTTTGACCACTACTGTTAAATGATAGCCCGAAGGCCCCAAAAAATTCTACACTACACTTTTCCCGACAGATTTTTTTCCGTTATATTATACTAGACATCTCACGGCCAAAAAAAACAGAAAAATTACTTAGGACGTTCCCCCGTTCCGCAGTTCGCCTCCCGACGATACTCGTAACGGTTGTTATAGTAGATTGAGAGGTCGAAAAATAAGGAAAAAATATTGGTTGTTGCTCCTCTGCCGGCCGCGTTTAAACGTCATTCAAGCGTTAAAGACGGCATCGGATAAAAAATGCGTAAAAACAAAATTAATTGAAAGCTGTAGGTGGTCGCGGAGTGCATCAAATTTCACGCGAAAAGAGTGCTTTCAAAGTTACTGCGGAGAGTTTTCGACTTGTTTTGAGAAATGAAAATTTTTTGATCAATGGTCGTGTATAAAATATAAAACTTTTATAGGAAAACACGCGGAAACAATATTTCGTCAAGACTAAACTACTGTAGTAGTCTCTGTTGTCAAATTATAAACTTTAGACTATTCAAATTTCAATGTGAGTATATCTTTAAAACAAAAAAAATTAATTTTTCGAAACTTCGGGTCGAAAAATTTTGAAGGCTTATTGCCCGAGGATCAAGCGTCAGATTTCCGTGAAATTTTGGATTAATAATTTATCTTGCCCATAAATTGGTCCCTCAAATTTTTAGCTTTCCCTTTAGAAGCAAACCGGAGATATTCACAATCTATACAGACGAGGTAGCATGGGAAATGAGGAGGGACGGTCCGCCAAAAAACTTGTTCACATCCATTTTAATTTTTCAGCCGTCTTGAAGAGTTGTTCGAAAGATACTGCAAGATCTTCTGTGGCAAAATTTATATATTTCATGTAAAAACAATTTGTTGAAGCCTTTCATTTTCTCATCAACAAATGAAAGTGTACAAAAAAGAAATTTCTTTGGAGTAAATTGTAAACCCAAACGGGTAAATGATTCGACTTCAACGAACTGTAGCCCACCCCATGGAAGTCATCGTAATTTTATACTTGCCTTTGCATCTTAAAGATTATAAGTACACCTATAATTGAGAGGTAAAAATATCCAAACTGGGACGAAGATTTTTTATTTCTAATTGTAAGATTACTAGATAGAGGTTCTGGTAAATAGAATGGAAGTAAAATTTTGGCAAAAGGTCTCACGTACATATAGTAGAAATTACAGTTCTAGTTTCAAGTCGAACTTTTTATATGTAATTTATTGTACAAACTTTGTTTTTCATACAATTTGTCGCTTATTGAAGAGAAAATGAAAGGCTTCAACGAATTGTTTTTGCACTTCTTTTACCATCTGAAGATCTTGAGGTGTTCTTAGAACTTCTTAAAAAAATTTTAAGGGGGCGCTGAGCAGCAAAATTTTTAGAAAATAAGATATCTCCGTTCTACCTGCAAATTAAAGGCTAAAAATTTGAGCCATTAATTTGTGGACAAGATAAATTATTTATTCAAAATTTCACGGAAATCTGACCGTCGACTCTCGGGCAATAAGTCTTTGAAACTTTCTGTTGTTGATGTTAAAACAGATCTCCATAAAAGATGTTCAGCGATTTGCTTTCCGTTACATAAAAATTTCATTTCACAACACACTGTATAAAAGTGAGAAACACCTAGAGAAAAAATAAAAAATTCCCCGACTTTTCCTTATTACACCACTGCAAGTGACAGTAAAGCAACTGAAAAGTTCGCAAAAAGTTCCCTCTAATTTTTTATACGAGATGTTTTCGGAATGACCAGCAAGGACAAATAGAGTTTGACTTTTTGGCCAAGTCCTTCCTTGTTTACTTCGATCTTTAAAAGCGTTTTCCTGCTGAATTATGCAAAGGAAAGTTGGGAAATCAGTCGAAATCAGGACCAGCTGAAAGTTTAGCCGGGGTTTAATCAGGAATAAATTTGTTAATCTTTTTGAATTACTTGAAAATTAAAAAATATTCAAAAGTCAGCATTTTTAAAAGGGTTCAAGATTCAGAAATGCGTTAACCCAAATACTCGATATTTGTAAACATAAAACCTTCTTTTAAAATGTGGAAAATCCTCTTATCAGTAAATTTTTTTTGTAAAATGTTGCTCTTTGAGCGTTTCGCATTGTGATTTCCAAGTTTCCGCGCAATAAAATCATTTTTCCCCCTAAATCAGCTTTATTTCCCGCTACTAACGCCCAACAGCCACTTAAAGACTACAAGAATTCCTTATCATCCCCCAAAAACAAGTCATCATCGTGCCTCGGAAAGAGTTGCCTCAGCACTTTTAACACTTCCCCCGCTTTACGCTCTTTGTCTTTGGCCAAATCGTGGCCGAAGCGCGATGCGGAAATTAAATCCGCAGAAACGAAAAAAGGACCTTCCAAAAATCCGCATTAATGCAAAAAAAATATTTTTTTAGTGGCGTCATTTCGAGTGGCTGGCGGGCACTGAAAACTGATTCCAACTTTTGACAAGTTGCCTGCAGGGCAAGTGCAGGGAACTTGAGACCTGATCGTGGTTTTTTTGGCCAAAAACTTTTGGCTTTTTGAGCGAATTTTGGGTAAAACAAAAAAAAATTTATTTTTGATTCTTTTATTTTTTTTTAAATTAGAGTTTCGCATTATTAACGGCATTTTTGTAGCGAAGTTGTCCTCAAGGGCTTTGACGTAATTTAGGCGGATTTTTATGACGAGTGACATTTTATACGATGAAGTTTTGAAAGTTTTTTTTATGTAACTGTCGAAAGATATTTTTCTAACAAGGAAAGTACTTCTATGGGGTGTGGAGTTACAGGTCGAGTCATATATCAAAAAATTCGCAAAATTTTTCTGATTCAGAGTATGTAAAAATTAGCTGCCTAATTTTGGTTTGTCAGGGTGAAAAAACCCTCGGAACTTTTCTCGAAACACCACGCAAATGCCTTTTTGACCAAGTTTTTACCAAATCAAAAGCTTGTTTTCTAGTTAAAGTAAACTCTGGTATCTTTACAAGCTTTAAAATATCAAATTTAATTTATACTGCACCTTAATTAGTAGTTCCAATGTAAAAAAGGCGCATTTTCATGGTGTTGCGAGAAAAGTTCTGAGGATTTTTTCACCCTTACAAACCAAAATTAGGCAGCTAATTTTTGTATATTCAGAATCAGAAAAATTTTGCGATTTTTTTGATATATGACTCGACCTGTAACTCCATACCCCATAGAAGTACTTTCCTTGTAAAACATATGCGATATTTCTCAATTAAAATTCCTACACGTGTTTTAGAAAATTCTAATCCCAAGTTTCGCCAATTTCATGAAAATTCTCATTGCAAAATTTCAAAAATTTTTAGAAACGTTTCACCGTATAAACTGTCTTCCCTAAATGCCTCTCTAAACTATGTAAAGGAGTTCTTGAAGTTCCTAAAATTCAATTTCAACTCCAATTTTCAGAAATAACCAAGTTAGGAAGGCCTCTTAAAATTAGTATTGTCTAATAATGACTACCCGACAATTTTAATTGCGTTAAAACTCCTAGCCAACTACAATTTTCGACCACAAAGTTCCAGTTGACATGGCATAGAAGAGCAATGTAAATAAAAATATTTTAAAAGGCATTCGAATTTTTACTGCTTCACTGCTGAAAAAATGGTTTTCTCCGGACATTGCACCTTAAACGGCTTTCCAAAAGCA